TTTGTGCTTTAAGTTTTACTTTTCCTGGAGAGGAAATCTCTCTGTAGGTGGGGAGCCCAGCTTATGACCTCAGTCTCCTCATTTATATTTCCTCTCATACTTTTTTATGTGCATCTGGGTCTCATCAAGGGCCAGAGCAACAGTAGTCCCTAACAACCCATATACAACAGCTTTTTATACCCATTGCTATAACAGTCCTTGCCTTCATGAAAAGAAGTTTTCTCTATTGCCCAGCTTAATTTCCAAAGAAACAACTTTTGATTCAGCCTATCCATTAGGACAAAAAAAGAACCAAGTTAACATTTATGGAGTATGTATAGAGAAAAGAATTTAGAATAATGCCAGACACACAGTAGACTCTCAGTAATTGTCAACTGCATACATTGTGCCAGGTTCTCTGTTAGGCACTTTACATGTGAATCCTTCAGCACTTTGATAAAGTATAGTCACAGGTCGGCAAGATTGGTATCGCATAAACATGCATGGAAAGGGTTTAAATCGTGCTCGTCTCAACTAGAGATTCTTCCCTTATCATTGGTTGAATCTGATAGGGGAGAGGTTAGAATGGGATAAAGAAGCTTCTATTTCAAAAGACGGCGTAATGTTGCACCTAAAAGTTGCTGAACCCATTTACTTGCCAAATGGTCGTGGACAAGTTACTTAACCGCTTTATGCCTCAGTTTTTTCCATTTATATAATGATGATGATGGTGGTGGTGGTAATAATAATAATACCTACTTCTAAGATTGCTGTAAGAATTAAAGTCAATGAATGTGGAGAATGTAGGACAGAGTCTGGCATATGTGTATTCAAGAGATGAGAGCTTTTTTGTTGCTATTATTATTATCTGCAGCTAGGGAGTATGTAGTATTTTAATGATCAGGAGGAATTATGCTTATATAAAGGGATTATTATACTGCTTGAAAGGATTTATAATAAAATTCCAGGAGGAATTTTAATAATGCTACTTGCACTTTTTTTTTTTCCAATATAGTTGGCTCCTCTGGTTCTTCTTAAATAGAAATAAGTTCAGTTTTAACAAATTGCATGATTTGGCACGTTGCATTACATTGGGGTGGCAGAATGTACACTGAGAAGGCCTGGGTTAGAGCTCCAGTTTTGCTACTTACTGATTAGAGACTTGGGGTAAATCATCTACTCAGTGTGTTCAGTTTTTATGTTTATAAACTGCAGACATAATCTACCATGTTTTCTTAAGAGATTTGTGAGGATCAAAAATAAGACAATGCATAGAAAAGTTTTTTGTATATCACAGAACAGTCTGCCCTAAAGGATTATTTTCTAAACCTAGTTGTTCTTTTACTAATTTTATTTAATTAAATCAATGACTTTTCAAATTTCTATGGTCCTCTATATTTGGATATAATGTCACTTTTCGTCCATTATACAATTTTAAGTGTGTAGAAACCATTCACATATTTAGATGCAAGATCACTGAACAGATGTTTCCACAACTATTGGGGATCCTTGTTTCAAGAGCCTAGAAAGGGGAATTGTATGTATAAACTTTCTCGATGTCACACTAAGAGATCTGAGTGCATGGAAAATGCAAAGGTCAAATATAGCAGGTTTCACAATTTTGGTTCTATTACTTATAATTCGTCAGTACCTTGGTAAATATGAGAAGTACCTCTTTCATGTTTCTCAGAGTGTTGCTAAATATTTTCAGTAGAGATGAAGCAAGATTGGAAGACAGTAAGTCCTTACAGTAGGGCTGTGTCTTCTGTTAGGGTTTCAGCATGAATTCGGTACTATGTAAATGCATGAATAGAATAATACACATGGCAAGAAATGATCAGTTATGTATTTTATATACTCATGATTTAAAAATATTATTATTTTGAATAATTCAATTTGAAACACTCTCTTTTTTTCTTTTGCCCCCATGATTTTTATCTTCCATATATCTGTTAGTCCATCCACCTACCTACCTACCTACCTGCTTTGCCTGCCCTATCTGTATATGATGTATTGAGCATTGTAGACTCTGGAGGTAACACAAGGATGAATAATCTTTGTGAAAATAGGGGGCTGTTTGTGTACACAAACACATATAGCTTAGGGCTGTATTATAGGATCAGGTAAGAGGAAAGTGCTGACTGTTGATTCAATATGGAAATATCCAACCTCTCAATATTAGAGAATTTGAGTCAGGACTAATTTTAAAGGATATTCTTAGCTATTGTGTTGCAAAATTGGGGGTAGTGAATTATGCTTAGTTCTGCTTAATGTAATCTTAATGATGTAAAAGTGAGTTAATCGAAAACATTTAGTGAACAATTATTATGTGCTAGATATTGTGCACAATGCTTTCCATTCATTACTTCACTTAACCCTTATATCAACTCCACGTAACAGATACTGTTATCTCAACATTATAAATGAGGAAACTGAAGCTGAGAAAGGTAATGTAACTTGTCCAAAACACACAATTAATCAATGGCGGGGAGTATATTAGCCAGAATGATCTCTTAAAGTGCAAAGTAGATCATGCCCCTCTTGTGCTTAAGACAATCTAATGGCTTAGAATAGAAAGCACACGTTTCCCAATGGCCTAAAAGCCCTACCTGCTTGCTCACCCAAACCTTTCCTACAACATTGTATGCCATAGCTTTGTATACTAGCCATCTTTCCATTCCCTGAACAGACCAACCTTCTCTCTGCACTAGCAGTTTTGCTCTTTGTCTGCCCCAGATCATCCCCTGACCAGCTCATGCTTGTTATTGAGGCCTCATCCCACGCATCACCTCCTTTGAGAAGCCTTGCCTCACCATCAGGTGTAAAGAAATCCTGCCTCACCTCCCTGGTAATGTCTCACAATACTCTATTTAGTTATCACTTTTTGAAATTGTTCTGTTAATTAATTTATTTTACCTCCATAACCCTAATGTAAACTGCATGAGAGCAGAGGGGTCCTCTTTGTCTTGTTTACCTTCACCCATATATCTAACACCTAGAACAGGGCTTGGCCCATAGTAGATGCTTGTAAATATTTGTTGAATGAATGATTGAGTTGGTCTGACTCTAGAACCTGAGTTATTAACTGCTATCATATATTTTCTCTCCTTGAGAGGTGATAAATGATGACTTATATTTGCTAATTTTCTCATTTTTATTGTTATAGATCAGTTACAAACATTTCCAACTCTTTTTGTTATAATTGTCCCCAAATTGAAAAAGTCATATAATTGTTTGACCTGAGAATAATAATCAATTACTTAGGAAAAAATATTCCTTAGGCAAACTTGTGGGAAATTAAAGAGAAGTGGTTTGATTAAATTTATATGAAAATTTAAATAATATACACATTTCTATTATTTGAAAGGATTTCTTCTAACTCCTTTAAATCTGAATTAAAAATTTACTTGTGATAAAATAGTCTTTTATAAGAGTTGGTAATTTATAAATTGGTTCATTCATTTTGCAGTGAAATTTGTCGGTATCTGTAAAAGCTTAGAAGTCTGCTATCAGCAATTCTACTTTTTAGGACTATACCCTACTGAAATACTAACACCAGTGTGCAAAGATAGGTATGTGCAAAATTTAAAACTGCAGCATTGTTCATTATAGTGAAAATTGTAGTAAATCTAAATGCTCGTCAATTGATGATACTATAATAAATTTAGACATAGAATGGGATACTATACAGTCATTCAAAGAATTGGAAAATCCATATATATCACCATGAAAATATATCTAAGATATACTAATTGAGAAAAGCAAGTTGCAGAATACTCTGTTAAAGATGATAAATCAAAACAAACCAAAAATTTACCTGTTTTTATGGTGTGTGTGTGTATAATAATGAATGCATGGAAAAAAGTCTGGAAGTTGAGCAACAAGTTGCTAACAACAATATTGTCTTAGCAGTGAGATCCAGGGTGGGGAGAGCCTTCATGTTTTTAATTTCCATACATCTAGGTTATTCAATTTTATTTCAATGACAATGT